AGTATAAGTCACAAAATACATTTACCTGTTTTCACCAATTCTTTAATGAGTTCTTCTTTCATTCTGATATTAAGGGTAAGTTCATTCATTTTTTGCTTGGCAGCAATAAGTTTTAGCTCTGAATTCTTTAACTTTTGCACATTTATTATCTGACTTTTCTTGATAAATTCAATATCTGCACCTTTAAAGAAAGTATACTGTTTTAAGAACATATAACATAATTCTTAGAGACGCCTAAAAACTTAGGTGTAAGCAGTTTTGGGACTAACAGAACAAAACTAGGCTAAGTATATTATAAAATGAACTGTATTTCTGTAGAAGAGACTTTTTTTAAAAAAGGTTGAAATCTATTTTTAGTATATATTGTTAAGTACAGAAAATTTATGAATACAACTGATTATATATGAAAGAAACGACAGGTAGCTCTCAACTTAACAGCAGTTTGTTTAGTGACCATTTGAAATTACAAGGAACTGAAAAAAGTGACTTATAAACATTTTTCACACTTAATGACTGTTTCAAGATCGCCATGATCACATGATCAAAATTCAGATGGTTGGCAACTGACTCCTATTTATGACAGTTGCAATGTCCGAGGGGTCATATCCTTTTGCAACCTTCTCATAAGCCAAGTCAATGACAAAGCCGAATTCACTTAACAACTGTGTTACTAACTTAACTACTGCAGTGATTCACTTAACAATTGTGACAAGAAAGGTCCTAAAATGGGGCAAAATTCACTTAACAACTGATTCACTTAACAGAAATTTTAGACTCAATTGTGGTCATAAGTCGACGACTACCCGTATATGTATCTAATATACAAATGAGGATTTCATATATAGCATAGTGAGTTACTTAAGCTTCCAAGTGTAGTTTGAAAATTAATTGTGTGTACATTGGTCAATGCAGATAAGCTTAATTAAACTTGTTAATACAGTGTTAAAAAATAGCATGCAGTAATATGGAGATGTGTATAATATCAAAATGTCACCTGTAATATATTAATTCTCATTTAATGGCACTCATAATGATTTTTCATATTTATTGATTACAACTTAAAATGCTACATGTTTAAGTCTTTGTGTAATAAAATATATTTTAAGATTTTTTAAAGTTTTACTGACATGTTATATTATTCATTACATATTTGAATGTACTGTTAGTTTTTTAAGAGCTTGTTTGCTTAAAAGTATTTTTATTGAAAGGCATTTCAATAAATATTTAAAATATTAAAGAGCAAATATGTATATTTTATGAAATTTAATATAAGTTAATATTATAGTACAGATATCATCCTCATTTATTAATTATGCATTACTTTGAATACAAATCCATATTTTCAGAATCCCGTTCCCATTTTATTCTTTGGACTACGTAAAACACAATAATAATGGTATATCAATTTACCTTCTTTATCTGTAACAGCTTCTGTTGATGAAAGATTTCCGATTTCTGAACTGGCATTTTGATGTACGTCTTTTCCTTCAGTTATATAGCTAGGAGGAGCCTGCTTCTGTGTCCATGTACGGTTTAAGGAACGTCTAAGTAAAAATTAAAGCAGGCATTTTTTTTAAGTAAAACATACAAATACAGCTTGAGATGACAAATGTATTACAGGTAGTCCTTGACTTGCAACCATTTGTTTAGTGACCCTTCCAAGTTACAAGAGCATTAAAAAAAGTTACTTATGACTATTTTTCACACTTACAACCATTGTAACATCCCATGATTGTGAGATCAAAATTCAGATGCTTGGCAACTGACAAAGTTAATGAGGAAGCCAGATTCACTTAACAACTGTGTTACTAATTTATTTACTTAACAACTGTGATGAGAAAGTTAATACAATGGGGCAAAACTCACTTAACTCTCTTGCTTAACAACAGAAATTCTGGGCTTACTTACGATCATAAGTCGAGAACTTCCTGTAATTGTAAGCATTTTTACAATGAAATAATGTTTTATGAACAAAACAGTGCTGTGAGTATTGCTGCTAAATAAAAATGTGATTGCTATTTTCTTTTGGCGCATTTGTTATCTTGTTTATTGATGAATTCAAAGACAGCTTTATAAGGACTATCGCATCTTACAGAAATACAACTTTCTATTAGCTATTCCGGAATTAAACTGCAATGTCGTTTAGATGGGTTACCTTTGTAAATATCCAAAAATTGCAATTATTGGGGTATAATGTCATATCTAGGTTACTAAATGATACAGGGGACATAAATCATAAATATGTTGTACTGAAGGATCTGCAGTGGTTGCTAGTTGGCTACTAAGCAAAATTTAAAGTGCTATGGTTTATCTTTAAAACTGTAACTAGCTTAGAACTAGACAAACTGAGGGACCATCTCCATTAACCTCCTCTTACTCAGATCAGCAGAAGAGGGCCCTTTGAAGGTCCCCCATCAGAAGTTACAGAAAACATTGTTGACTGTTGGTTCAGCTTCTGTCTACTATAAAATTGTTTCAAATTTAAATTTATTTTCATAGAGTGAACTAACAGATATGCACATTAAATATCACAAGCTCTAATTAACATATTGGTCATATGTGATCAAAAACATACCTAAATCTGAATCTCCTTCCAGTCTTGGCATTGTTTTCATCATCATCACTGTGATCAGAAAAGCAATAATGAAGGACTTCATCTTGCTCTTCTATGTGATCCATCATGATCTGATTACGGGTTTGAAATCCAGCTATAACTTTACTTAAGGAATACATCGGAGGGCTTGTGTGTACCTTTTAAATAAGTTTTTAAAAATTAAATATTTTTATTCAGGTTCTGTTTAAAAAGTACTCAGTGGATAATGTAGTGCAAGTAATTTTATATGATTCAAATCCCCATTTTGGGGGAGAAGGTTAGGATGAGTTATTGTGTTTACATCTTTGCTTGTTCTGATAATCAGAACTATATTAGTTGCTATTTTTATTTATTTATTTGTCAAATCAGGAATTTGCCCACCTCCATAAAGAATGTGTACAACATTAAAATTTGTAAGAACAATAAAACAAAAAGCAATGTACACCCAGAAGAGAAAACTTTCAGACTAACTAAGTAAAAATACATAAGATAATTACCAACCATCTAATCCAGCTCTGGGGGAAAGCAATGTTTCCAGGGATTTTTTAAATGAAGTGGGGGCAGGATATGAAATTCCAAGGGATATGCTGTTACATAGAGCAGGCATAACAGAGAAGGTAAAAAGTCCAAGGCCTGTTTAATGAAACTATTTGAACACTGGAACCTGGAAGAGGTCTGCATTGTCCAATTGTATAGGACAGACAGATACTATTGTAGGAGGGCTTTATAGGTGGAAACCAGCATCTTGAATTGCACCTAGAAGCGAAGTGGCAACATGTTGAGCTCATGGAGCATTAGTGTTATGCAGTGGTGGGTTTCAATTTTTTTTATTACTGGTTCTGTGAGTGTGGCTTGGTGGGTGTGGCTTGGGCATGGCAAGGGAAGGATACTGTAAAACCTGCTGAAACCCACCTCTGGTGTTATGTAAGAATGCCAAAAATGTCGATTATTACCCACCTCACTGCATCCTGGACCAGCTGTAAGTGTTCCTCCATCCAGGACTAAACATGGAAAATTTCCAGGATTTGGGACCCTAAATACCCACAATCCCTCAGTCTTGCTGTGATTGAGACTGAATGTATTTTCTCCATCCATATTCTCGGCCTTCAGTTTCTGACAGCCTCACTTGGGCACCCAGTATTGAAATGTACAATTGGAAAACATCAACCACTGACAAATGACTTTGCTCAGTAACTTACAGATGTTAAACAGAAGGGGTGAAAATATTGAGCCCTGAAGCATCTCCAAGTGAGTAGCCATAGGCTACAGCACCTTTGTTCCTGCCAACACCTAGAATTATTTGCATAGAAGAAAACACATAGCACAGCATCCTCCACTCCAGTTCAGAAGGATACCCCAATTAATGGTATCAAAAACTGCCAAGAGATCAAGGAGAATCATGTTGGAGATTCATGATCTGCCTCGGGTTGAGTTTATACCTTTTATCAGCCTCTGTCTTTATTTTACAATATCCAAACTACATGATATTCTTTTTTTGTGACATTCAGAGACTATTCAAGCCAGTTCCCAACACTAACTCTGCTATGTTCCACAGCTGTCCAATGCAGACATATCAGGAATGGGCAACCTTTTAAAATATTGGAACAGAACAGAACAAAGAACCTAGATCTAGTGTCAAAGGTGGAACAAATATGGGGAATATCAAAACCACCAGATAGAAATGGAAGAAATGGAGGAAATAAATGCACTATATTTGCCATCTTTAAATGGGATGGGAGAAATTATTCATTAGTTTTTTTCATCAATTAATCAACCTACAGATGCTCATGTTACCAGTTCCCTTCAACTTTGATTAATAAGTTGCAAATAATAAAGTTAATTAAATAAAAAGATTTTTTTTCATATATACCTTTCGAGAATCCAATCTTAATGGTATGTTACTCATCTGCATCAAACTTTTAGTTAATGGAACACTATAGGGCCTTTTAGCTGATATTACTGCAGCTGGTCCATCTCCAGAAGCACCATTAGAGGCAGATGCTTTCACCATTTTCTCCAATTTGTCGTTTAGCTGGTTAATTATAAGTCGCTGCTCTACCATTTTTTCATTCTTGAAATGAAACAAAATTGCATTTATTAAACTACAGAATTGCAGAAATTAAAACCACTGAAATTTGGATTCAATTTAAATTTAAAATTGCATTCTTATATGCACTTACATGAGAATAAATCTTGATGATAATCCTAATTATAATGTTCTCAAACTATTTATGGTTGTAATATTTTTGTATTATTATTAAGAAATCTATGATTTCCTAAACAACTTGCAGAAAACTTAAATTACCTGTAACCTATTTGTATCTTGTGCCTCCTTTAGTGATTCCAGATATTCACGATTTTCTTGTATCAGCTTTTGTATCTGATCTTGCAATATTTTTATTTCCAGTTCTTTTTCACTGAAGACTTCTGCATCTGTTGCAAGAGCCTGCTAGATAATAAAGAGAGAATAAAATAAATGACTGAACATATGAAATGGAAAGTCCACAAATGGAAATGCATTGTGATATTTGCTGCAAATACAATAATTCTGCTGTAAGTACTGTATTGCATTAACTGTATATATTTTATTGTATATAACCCAAGTATAGTATGCAAAAATTATGAACACATATTGTCTTAAACAATTAAGTGTATTTAATTTAAACCAACGAAAACGTTAGTAAAAAAACCTTTGCCACATTTTACATTTTGATCTTATAGGGAAAATGGTGTGTACTAATAGCACCCTGTTGTTTCCTTAAGATCATTCCTGCAAATAATAACATTACTTTAAAAAACATTCCTCATATTTCATGTACGATTTGAGATGGGATAGCTAAAAAGAGAATTACCATGACTGGAAAGGAAATTGAATTCTAATTGTGAATGGTGTAATTATTAATAACAGTTGTTCAGAAAGTTACTAATGGAAAAGTTCTCTTTCATCTTACATAGTAATCTTCCTAAACATGTTTCCTTGTAGCAGCAGAAATGAGGAGAATTAAACTCTATTTTCTTGTGTCACTACAGTGCTTGGTACTGAACAGTACATCTGCCATCTGGCAAATAGAAGGAAAAATGTAATAAAAGTAAATGAATAACCTAAAGAACAATTAACCTTTTAACTAATTTAATTACTTTCCGTAATTACAGTCCACTTGGCTATTAACAGGTGCTGCAACTAAATCTAATTTATTAAATCTAGTTTATATCAATAGAGTTATTATGACAAATAGAACTGGTATTCATTCCTGTTTGCTGTCATAACTCCAAGATGCAGGGGGTGGGGGGCTGTCTCAGATAAAGAGTTTGGGGATGCCACAGGAGAAACAAGGGAAGGGCTGGTGTAGGCTGTGTGTGAGCTGCGGGAAGATTAGCATGGTCTGGTGCAGGCCACGTGCAAGCAGGAATGAGTGCTACAGATGGGACAAAAGAAGGATCAACTTGTGACCTTCTCTGCCAGCTTCCCCATTGACTTGGCTTGTGAAGCCAGCAGGGAAGGTCACAAATGGTGAACATATAACTGCATTTCTTTGTGAGTAATTGCAAGTCATGTACCTACAAACTGGGATTTCTATGACTGTGGGGATGTTGTGAGGACACAAATCTGGAGAACATCTATTTTTTCAGGGTCACCATAACTTTGAATTATCACTAAACAAATGGACACAAGCCTAGAATTATCTGTACATGTCAGGTAGGAAACAGATGTTTGAACCAGAAAATGGGGGGTTGGTTTTCAGGCTGGTTTTTACCCTGCAAAAGCCAAATAGTCAGGCAGGGTGTGTATCACATTAAAGTAAGATTATTACACTGTTACAGAATTCCCAGGAGCCAGATAAAACGTAGAATGTATCATATGAATATTTAAACCCTACCATTCCAGGGAATCCATTATGTTTATTAACATCACTAGAGTTTTGGTTGAACATATGAGTTCCTGATGAAATATATGTCTGTGAGTTTGCCATGCCAGTATTACCATCCTTAGTCATATCCTTGCTAGATGTAGTATTATATGCTAATGATAAAGACAGTACCAATCAGCCTTGGCACATTTTGGCCAGCAAGCCACAAGTGCAACCAGTAAAACTCAAGTACGCTCATGTTGTTCTGTGCAAACTAGAATCTGATTCACAGACTATCTGGCAGGTTATAACACATCCCATTCTAAAGCTAATCTTGGATGGGGTGGCAGTGCTCCAAACAGACCCTATGCGTAATCTGGGGGGGGGGGGGTTCTCCTGGCTCATGACTCCTGCTTAAAGAGCAGGTGGCCAGTGGAGCCTTAGCCCAACTGCAGATTATGTGTCAGTTATGCCCTTTCCTGGACCAACAATCCCTATTGAGAGTCACTCATGCTCTAGACACCTCCTGTCTTGACGATTACAATGCGCTCTACATGGGGCTGCCCCTGAAATGCATCTGGAAGATCCAATTGGTGCAAAATGCAGCGGCCCGCATGGTTTTGTGCAGACCTCGGTGTGCACATGTATCACCTCCTGCGGGAACTGCGCTGGTTGCCAATTTGATTCTGGGTGCAATTCAAGGTGCTAGTTGTCACCTTTAAAGCCCTCCATGGCTTGGGACCAGGTTATCTGAGGGACCGTCTCTTGCCAGTTACATTTACTCGACCCATTAGAGCAGGGAGACAAGGAATGCTGCGAGTCCCATCCCCTAAAGAGATACATTGGCGGGACCCAGAAGAACGGCCTTCACTGTGGTGGCTCCCTCTCTCTGGAACATCATCTCACCAGACATTAGACTGGCTCCCACTTTAACATTCTTTTGGAAGGCCCTGAAGACACGGTTCTGCCAGTGGGCCTGGGGAACCCAGAGTGGGAAGGAGCCCATTAAATGGCTAGTATGAATGTATGGTGTTGCCAGAGTGGAGAGTTATTATTTTACTATTTTTCTCTTTATTATTTTTATTTCTTTTATATGGTGTTTTTATGTCCTTGTAAGCTGCCATGAGTCGCCATGGGCAAGATGGCAATATAAATTTTCTAAATAAATAAAAGCTACATATGCAGTTTTCTCATACACTCTCAAATTTGTACTAAAAAGGGAAAAGACAAAGCAGCTTTAACATATTTTACTTATTAGAAGCAATTTCTAGTGATCAAGAAGTACATTTACTGTTATCTATAAGTAGTATTACATGTCTGTAGGTAAGAATTTCATACAAGAGTGTATTAAATTCAGTGTGGTAAAAATGGAAGGCAAAAGTACTGAACTAGGAAAATCTAGAGCTTTGCATAAGAAACGCAAAATTCTAGATTTGAGAAAATTCCTTACTTTTGCAAGAAACTTTTAAAACAAAGTTCATAATGTTCAGCAGGTTCCTCTGATTATGCATAATGACATTTCAGAATTCTAAGAAAAAAAGGCTTATTGTATAACATTTTCTCCTGCTAATTTAAGATTCACTCATAATTATTTCAAGCTTATGTCCCACTAGGCCTAACCAATAATTTAATTAAAGTGCAGAACATTACTTAAAGTAGCTCTGATGGGCAGGTAATGGAAATATAAGAGCCATTTTTAATACCCAAGGGACATTGTTTGTTTATAGTTGATGTATGAGAAAAAAAATAATGCCTTTGGATGTTGGACTTATCATCTTTATGATTCAACCAATATACATATAATTTATAAAAGATCCCTAACAGAACTAATTTTCCAGAAATAATTTGATTTGTAATTTTATATACTATATTTCAGCCTCCCCAGTCTGGTGTTCCCCAGGTGAGTTGGGGTAGACTGATGAATAACTTATAATTCATATTGATTTTCATCTTTTATAATGACAATATTCAGTTATCATTTCTGTTACTAGCTATATTCTTGTAATGTAAGCATTTTAGACTAGGGAGAAAGGCAGGAAGAGATGCAAACAAAGGAACACTATGAAGAAACAGTTCATGCTGAAATGAAAATGAAATATTAGCCAAGAGAAAGATAATAGAGCCACTCAAGTTTTAAAAGATTGCTTCACTGTTTATGAGCTTAAAAAATAGTAAAAAATTACAAATGATCTATGTTACCGTAGAAAAAGCAGCTAGACAAGTTCCAAAAGATAAGCTGAAAGACTTCTTGGCTGGGGATGACCTGCCAAAGCTCTGACCTTTGAAAGAAATCCATAATTTCCTGAGAGAAGATCTCTTATGCTGTATTAATGATTGCATATTGAACCATTTACAAATAAAGAACCCATGTTTAGTATTAAGTTGTACTAAATTGAGGTATTGTTCTCCTGCTTGTTGTTTTAAAATGCCTCTCAAATTATCTTGTAGGACTGATCAAGCTGACATGCTGGAATGGGAGGGAAGTTAAATTCATTTGAACAAAACTCTGCCTTAATGTGCAAACAACACTTCTGTATACAATCTTTTATTAAGCCCTTATATTAAATGTACAGTAAGTACCTGATATTTCTTCAGCTCCCTTTTAAGCTGAAGAATTGTGATATGATACGGTCCTTCTTGGTCGGCTACTGTTCCACCGTTTACCTGGGGAATAGATGCCTCTCTCCTAATTCCCTGTGCTACATGAATCCATTCTTGCAGTTTTTCAAGTTGATTTTTTGATAGGTTAGCAATGTTTTTTAAATCAACAAGAAATAAATAAGCTTCTTCAATGCAATTTCGCAAATTAAAACTTTCAATTTGAAACTGAGCAAGCTGCTGTTCAAGACAACGAATTCTGTTTTTGTCTTGGCATAAATCTTGTGACCCTTGGCTACCAGAAGACTGTCCATTAGTTTGTTGGTTTTGCAAGGCTTCCCGAAGCAATTTAATGGCAAGCTCCATTTCATCTATACGATCCCAGTCTGGGTTATAGTTGACAATAGGTTTGTTCCTAATATTTTTTGCTCTGTTTGCATACTTGATGGAATTTAATGATTCATCAAAATCAGAAGAAGATGGACTAATACATGTTATCATGACAGTCTTTGCATTGCCTCCTAAAGAGTCTTTAAGGATACGTGTGATTTTAGCATCCCTGTATGGAATGTGTACGTTTTTTCTCTTTGGGTCTCCAAGTGCACTTATCACATTTCCCAAAGCTAGTAAACCACTGTTGATCTGAATGGATTCTTTGAATCTTTCACCAGTGTTGCCAGTTTTTGTAACTCTTTCTGATCCGGCAAGATCTACGAAGTGGAACTTAGAAGCGATCTGCTGTCCAGAATTTTTAGGTGAATTTTGTGCACCCTCTTTGTCCTTCTGCAAAGGCTGCTGTTGTTGACAGACACTGATGGTAAAAACAGCATGGGATCGGCTGGAATGCTCATTCATTTGGGTTGTCCCTGTATGTCTAGCAGCAGTCCCTGTTTCCAACAGGCTCATCACTTCTTCTGTACTTTCCACTTGGCAGTCTTTGGCACCAACGATTACTAAAACAATAAAGGTTATAAATTTAAATTTAAATTTAAACATTTTCAGAAAAAATCAGATTACATTTTAAACAAATATAGGCAATCCAGTTATTTTTCAAGCATGAAAGAATTCATATAAGATATAATATTATAAAATAAGCAGCAAATGAAGCTTTCATCAAAATGTATGGTGTGATACCACAAAGATGCTTTGTCTCTTGCATACTTGTATTTAAGAACTAGTATTTGTATATTTGTAGGATAACATACATACAGTTGTAGATTACAAACCAATAGTTGAATGGTAGTACAATGTCTGCTAGTTTAGGTAGAACTGGAAAGAAATATGTCAGAAATCCTGTCACTGTCAGTGTAACCCCTAATGAGCTAGACAAATTGATGATCTAACCTAGTATTCTTACAATATTTTTAACTATATTCAACTGCATAAAAAATTATTGCAGAATCAATAGAAGGTAAAGTAGGGAAATCCTTGGATGTGCCGGTACATGTACTGCATGTAGCTGTATGAAAATTTTATGATGCTCCACTGTGCCTCTAAGTGAGATAACAAATTGAAAAAAAGCTTTAAATGGAGAAAAAATACTCATAGCACTACAATGGACATTTGAAGAAAATGTATGCATTGTTGACCCAAAGGTCCTTTTTTCAAGAGGCAACTGGACTTTTGTTTTTTCTTTGAAGATGTTTTGCTTCTCATCCGAGCAGCTTCTTCAACTCTGACTGGATGGTGGGGAATGGAAGGATTTATACTCCTTGTACAGCTGGTTATTTGCATTCTTTTAGCGGGTTGTTAAGGTCACCTGTAGGTTTATCTGTATCATCAGGGTCACCTGAGTGTTGCAAATTGGTGTGCAGCCACCTTGGAAGGCATTCAACAGTTCCAAGAAGGCTCCACACCAATTTGCACCGCTCAGGTGACCCTGATGACACAGATAAACCTCCAGGTGACCTTAATGACCCGCTAAAAGAATGCAAATGACCAGCTATCTGCAAGGAGTATAAGTCCTTCCAATCCCCACCACCCAGTTAGAGCTGAAGAAGCTTCTTGGATGAGAGGCAAAACGTCTTCAAAGAAAAACCAGAAAGTCCAGTTGCCTCTTGAAAAAACACCTTTGGGACAACCATGACCTGGATGACTGAGAATCTCCATAGACATGTATGCATTGTTATTCTAGAAATATTCAGCTAAACAGTAGCACTTATCTAAAGGCTTTCCTGATTTTTGATATATTTTTAAAGCAGAATAATGGGGAAAGATTAACTTTGCTGAAAGATGCTATTTTAGTTATGAATCACAGCGATTATTACACATTAATAGACTATTAAAGCATTACATTTAAAGTACAAATTACTTTGCATAAAAATGAAAGTTACATTTCCTCTGAATAATTCAACTTTAATAAAATGAACTTAATATTATTTTAGAGGTCCATCTATAGAAAATATGAACATGCGTTTTAAAAATGTTTCAAAATTATTAGCAAATAAAAACTTAGTTGAAATGTATATTTCTACCTGTATTGCCCTTTTCATCTTCTCTAATATGCAAATCTTTCATAGATGTCTCTAGTTCCAGGAGATCTCTGAGTTCTTCTTTATAGACTTCTATGTATGAAACTTTAACTGCAAAATCAGTATTATGGTTTTCAGAAATAATCTGAAATATTTCTTGAATTGCCCGTGGAATAATACCTCTCTCTTCTTCTGCAACCGATGCTAAAATGAGAAAAAGATCTTAATCCAAACACAGAGCTGAAATATACAGACTCCAAAATATCATAGCAATACTGAAAATTAAGTAAAAGGAATCTGAATGACTTTCAACTCAATATGCTGTATGTATATCACATTCAGTTGTCAGGGTCATATAAATCAGTCATGCCATCAGAGTTAAAAATACAGGGGAAAAACGACTAAGCAAAAACCAAACAAAACTAGGAAAATACTCAGTGTCAGATTGGGGGGAAAAGTTGAGAGAAACCTACTTTCCTTTCTCCTGATAGTTCCCAGAACACCACAAACATTTCAGAAAGTTGTGATGAGGAGCTGTGGACTATGGCTTATTTTTGGTATAGTGGGTTGAAGGAGAGGATATCTCTCATTTGGGAGAATTCTCCCTTTCTCCCTCAGTCCCTGACAATGAGGGGTAGAAAAGTACTTCATAATTCCAGTGTGATGCTGATTAATACCCTAGTGTTCTGGTCATGTGTAAAGTTTTATTCACAAGGAAAATGTTACCAGTATAATTTTAAAATAACACTGCAATTCCTTTATCTACCACTTTATCTGCAATAGGTAAAAATAGGTAAGAAGAACATGTAGTGTTAGGAAGACGATATTGACAAAGATATGCAGGAACTGTTAGCTGGGCAAAAGGAGCTGAAGCATTTTTTAAGTCCAGAACAAAAAAATAATATTTAGAACTGGCTCATGAGGAGGAGGAGAAAGTATAGAAGAATTTCAAGATTCTTTTATTATAACCAATCCCAGTTCAAATAGTTTTATCCTTTCTTTGGAGTCGATTTTCCTGATATGGCCACATAATGGACATCTAGTCTAAATTTGCTCCCCTTCTCACAAATTTGTATGGAACCTATAAACTGGCCAAAAGACAACACTGGAGACTTTTTTTTAATGTAATAGCTATTCCAAAATTAGTATCTTAGAAAGAAAATGGCATTTGATAGAAATGCCTTTTATAAACGATTACTCTCAAAGTACCCAGTATAATGTTCTGATAGTATCTACAAAACATGTGACAGAAATTAGAATAAAATATGCCACATTATCTGCAATACTGTGGGTTTTGTCCATTTAAACTAAAATATTTTAGACCAATAATTAGTATGGAAGTGTTAGGTAGACTACTGTAATCTTCATGCTGCATATAGAATAGAATAGATTTTTTTTAATTTAAAAAGATTAATATTATATTATTTTAAATAGAATTACCTAACCTTTAGTTCCAACTTGTTCTGAAATGAAGCATCAGGGACAGCAATTATAAATATTCAGTTTGTGAAAAGATTGCTCTTATTATTCCTTTTACCTTTATTATTACTTTAATAATTCCTTTTTTTGACCATATAGTTAAATAATAACAAACTTTTCAGAACATACCAATGTGACCACCTCCAATAGTATAAGTCTTTCCAGAGCCTGTCTGTCCATAGGCAAAAACTGTAGCATTATATCCTTCTATCAAAGATGCTACCAAGGGCTTAATACATGTTGTATAGACTTCATCTTGGGTTGAATGCTTGCCAAAAACAAAGTCAAAAGTGAAGACGCGGTCCTTTCCGATGATAATTTGCTGAGTATTTGAGATTAATCTCACACATACTTGATGATTGTGAAGTATTTCTTTTGAGAGTAAAGGTCTTATTCTTACTGCCACTTTAACAGGAATTTCTTCCATTGCAGCTTATATGTGCATTTGTTAATTTTAATATTCACAACTTTTCTTTAATTCTTTCTTCATACTATTCTCAGTCTTCTACATTTGACAATAAAAGATATTCTTTTATTCTATAGGAAGCAAGAAATAACATTTTAGAGATTATTTTCCTTGAAATAAAAAATGCTAAATCTAGGAACATTTTTTCCTAACCAAAGCTTTCTATTGAATTAGCTTTGTGCATATAGTAACTGCTGAAAGGATAATACAAGATTCTTGTTCAAGAAGAATGATTAATTAAACTGTGGAAGTACTCTGGATGTCCAAAATAGCTTAAAACTCAATGTGCCTCATCTGAAAGGAGGGTTTCTCTTAACATAGTTGGTCAGATATAGATGCCCACAATTCTTAATCTCATTTTATGATTTACATTGTGCTGCTGTCAGTTGCTATTTCACGTATTCAGATTTTAACTGCGACTTGTACTTTCCAAAGCCAGGCATTTCGTTACTTAAAACTAATCACTAAAATAGTGGAAACTCCTGTGATGCCATTCTGTACTATATATTTTCCTTGTGTGCAGGAGTGTTTTTTTCTTTTTTAAAAATTACCATTAAAAACCGCTATAGTCAAGTATGCAACTACAAATTATAATAGGCGTCACTGCTACATGAGAGGATTATTTTAAACCGGTTTTTTACTCGACCTCACCCCTATCCCCGATCTCTCCCGACACGCTCAAACTCACCCTAGCGCTCCTTCCCTCCCT